GGGAGACCTCATTGTCAGATCTTTCATTTGAGCTACCAACATCATCTGAGAGCATGGTATGTGTCAAATAAGCACTTTTAGCGTATCCCATATGACCATAAGTAGCTCTGAAACTTTTTCATAACTTGCAGGTTTTTGCTAGAGTGAGTTAAGCTGTCAGTTTTAAAGAGAACCAGCAAACACAGCCCTGACCATGCATTCACTGTTTTGTTAGCATGTACTGTCTTTATGTCACATACTGTCACACATGGCCTGGCAGAGAACTGAACAACAGGAGGTTCAATCTGGCCTATGGGTGGCTTTGCTTCAGCTTTAATGCTTTGCAATCTTTGAGTTGAATTTTTCATGAAATTAACTGTTTTCCTGGTGTGGTGAAGTCAGCATAAGTCTACACAGGATTGCAAATGTATGGGAAGTTAAAATTTCTAGATATGTTATTCAAATCAAACTCATGAGGTTGTTACAGTTTACTTACAGAACTCAAAATGTAAAAATTTCTTTCTTAATTCACTTTGGGTTGAGAAGTTAAAAATCAGGTTTGATATCTTTCTCGATGTATTACAGTCATTGCTGTCAATGTCTTACATCTCCCCTCTCTCCATAGGAAATAATTGTTTATGTTGATGCTGATACTGACATCGATATCATCACTCCTGAAAGTTCATACTCTGATGCTGCTGACCCAGATGTGCCATCACTCAAACGAACTGACAGCATATTTGTAAGTTTGCATAATTCTGGTCATTTCCACACTTTTATTAGGGCTTTAACTTACTGTAGAAGACTGGCATTGCAGCATTGTAATTTTTAAACTATATGTACTTAACAAAAATCTTGGGCCACTCTTCATTCTTTGTATTTTACTAGCAATATGGGTATAGTTCTCCAGGCTTCTTGAAGGACATTCAAAGGTCCTCTTTGGCTGTTTCTGCATTTTTTTCTGTTCTGTCAGATGACTCCACACTGCTTCAATAATGTTAAGGTCGAGGCTCTGGGGAGGCAAATCAATGACTGTTAATGTTCCACTGTTGGTCATAATTTCATCAGTTTTGAGAAGATCTCCAACACATGCTGCCCCAAACCATGACAGAGCCTCCACCATGTTTTACAGATGACTGTAGACCCTGACTGTTAAACCTCTCTGCTGTCCTCCTACATACACGTTGATGAGTTAGAAACAAAAATTTCAATTTTGGATTTTTTTTACTCCACAAGCCATGTTTCCAGTGATTTTGTTTTTAAGTCCAGTTTTTGTGTAATTCGGCATACCTCATCATCTTCTCAGTTTCATTTAGTTTAATAACCATTCTTAAGCAACGCAAACATGACAAGACTTTGAGATACTGGTCTGCTGTAGGTAATCTTTTTTTTTTTCCCCTTTTGTTTTCATGGCTGCGATTTCTTTTTGTGCTTCGCTTCTCCACTTACCTCAGATTTTATTTCTCTCTCTCAAAGACACTGCACACCATGCTGAGAGATGCAAGGTTTTCAGGTTGTTGGGAATCATACTGTTGGTCTAAAAATATTTTTTATACCTGTAACTGTTATCTTTGGCATTATTCATAGATTCAATTAATGAAATGGAAACAAGTGATGTTTTAGTGACAGTCTGCTAGAAAGAAATTACCTACAGATAACATTTAAATTTTATTTTTTTTCTAAGTTGTCTATGTGGGGACACAACACTGGTTCATCTCTCAAGTTAGGAGACTTTTTTTTTTTGCTTTGAATGATTCATAGGTCATTGTTAAGTAGCTTAACAAACAAAAA